ACGTTTTCAAAACGCCTCCGGTTTGACTTGCGATCAGTTCTTGGAACTTCTTTATTTGTATGTTAATTCCACTTACGCCTCATGGGATGGTACTGTTGTTAAACAGAAGAATGGAATCTGTATTGGTTCTTGTATTGCCCCTTGCTTAAGTGACTTGTACTTAGCCTATCACGACCAGGCCCTTTATGATCGCCTCAAAAATCACCTGATGTTGTACGTGTGTTTAGATTTGTCGACGATTTCTTAATTGTTTTAAACAATGACTCATGTAGTTTCGACAATGAGGTTTCAAAAATTGTAACCACTTTCACGGAAACCCTTTCTCCATTGGTCTTGACGCATGAAAAGCCCGAGGGCAATTTCATTAGGTTTTGGACTTAGGTATCTACTTTTCATCTGAGAAAGTGTGTTGGAGTTATGAGCCAAGGGGCAATAAGCCCGTCCTGCCGTTTTCCTCCGCCCATTCAAAGCTCGTGAAACGCGCCGTTGTGCAATCCTGTTTTAATAACTCTCTTAGGAAGTCCTGTAATCACAAAGTTGAAAGCAGTTTTCTGAATCAAGCCAAGCGCTTAGCAGAGTCTGGTTACCCAATTTGTGTGCTGAGCTCTGTCGCAGAGGGTTTGAGCAGGAAGCTAAAACACCCACCTAAAGGCAGTAATGGTCGTACAGCAAAAAAAGTGGCCGTCGTTCCGTACTTGCATGGTGTATCGCATAATCTCAGAAGGATCGCGGGAAAGGCAGGAGTGGATGTGATCTTTTCAGCTCCCGAACGTCTACATAGGTTGTGTCGACGCGTTAATTCACAGTGTAACAGTGCAAACACCTGCCTTATTAATCATCGAACAATTTTTGTGAACTGCATTCGCAATGTTGTTTATGCTATTCTGCTTTCTTGTGGAAGAACCTATATTGGTCAAACTGGCCGATGTATCAATCAGAGATTGAAAGAACATCATTATAATGTCACGAAAGCAATCTCGGGCCATTTGGGCATCCATTGCCGAGATTGTGGATGTATACCCCTCTTCGAAAAAACTAAAATTCTATCTAAGGCTCCTGGCAAAATGACAAGGGAGATTATGGAGGCATACGAAATCGCGAAATTATCTGACATGTGCGTTAGCCAACCATCAGTATCGCTTTCTCAAAAAGAACTTCATTACCTTGATTCGACACAGTGACTTGTTCTTTTACTATGTAGTGCAATTTACACGTGCTTGGTTCTACGATGTGATTCCGCGTTATGTTCTTTATGTTTATGTTATTTCCGCTCGCTCGGTATATATTTATCGGTTCGTGCGAAAATAAAAGATCAGTTGAAAGTAGCGCTCTGTATGTGTCTGTCTCTTCTACGTCCTTGTCTGTTTTGCGCTTACTCACTCTTAATGGTCTCTTGATGGATACTTGAATTAAGCTCATTTGACACAAGCGAAATATGAAAGTCATGATTTTCGTCATTTGCAATGTGAGCACGGTGTCAAACTCCTGTGTCTAATTGATCCAAAACACATCTGCACCCCTGGTTCCTTAACTCCTGTTCACCACCACATGCAAGTGACAACAGTTTTTTTTGCAGATAAAATGGCTGGAAATTGGTAGTTTGTTTATTGCAATGTAGCGAGTTTTATGCCAGCAGGCTAATTGTAGCTGAAAGCTTCTCAGTTTGCTTGAGTTTGGTATCATTGCATGCACATTGCATCTAGTAAAAATGGAAGCTACTGAGTGCTGTATTTTCTATGTGGATAAGGCTGTGGTTTCTAACTGATTAAGGTAACATTGTGGACAGTGCCACCTCGTTTCAGTTGTCTGCGGGTGCTGCTTTTGCTCTGTTGTGTTGCACATCTGTGGCGGTTTGCGCTCGGTGCATCTGAACATCATACGAATCAACTGGGTTACGGTCAAATGTGAATTAACGGAGTTTATACCTTTAAACAATGCATATGCTTGTCGGGATCAGGAAACATGTCCGAATTGTCCAATTTTCCAAATTAATGAGCTTTGTGCGTGTGTGTGCGTACATGTGTGGTTCATACCTTTTTCATTTGTATGGAAGGTTGCCTGTCAGCTGGATAGTCCAAGCTTGCCTAGGGCTTCATTAAACACTTAATGGGATACCTAGTTGGAAAACCTGTTTTAATGTTGTCTTTTTTTTTTTGCAAGATGGCTAATTTATGGCTAAAAGTTAGATGAAATCATATTTACAAATAGGTGCAAAATTTCATGCCTCTATAGAATATGTATGTACTGGCACTTTGCTCATTTAACTTTGATTACTTTTGCTGTACAATCAGTATTATTACGTATCCTGTGTGAATTCATCCCAAAAAGAAATAATGCTTGGTGTGTCTGAAAGAAAAGATGAAGGAAATGTCTTTATAGATCAGCTTTTTTTGTGAGCTAATGTTCATTATAATTGCACCTGTTTTAGCATTAGAAAACACACTGGCATAACTATGGATATGGATAGGCATATTTATTTATAAAATTCAGATTTATGACAAGTTAAGGGGAGATGCGGATTGAAAAACCGCGATTTTTTTCGAAAAAGTCAATTTTGTGTTTTCTTGCTTTTTGTATACCTCCAAGCCTTCTCCTTAATATATTAAAAAATCAAAGCTGAGAATCATCTAGAAGTTATCAAAATATACAATTAAAGCTCTCGCGGTGGCTTAGTTACCCGATTTTCACGCACGCGGCACTTCGCTCCACAGCATCGCCGGCTCTTGAAATTTCGCGGGCATGTAGGCCTAACCCTCTTCTCCTAGAGCCCACTTCGGCATAGCGGCATTCACGCTAAAAATACAATAAAAAATCGTTTTCCCACTGCATTCTAGCGTGGGGACTGGGTCTTCGAAGTCATGTGGTATGGTCGGTGCCCTGCCATTGGTTGCGAGCATTTCGCCGCGCAGTCGGATGCGAGCGCTTTCTTCGTTCTCCTGCTTTTGCCGAGACATTGACGAACACAACCGCCGGAGTTATTATTTCTGCGCCATGGATGCCGGCGAGAAACGCTACTTTCGTTCATGGATGTTCATTACGCGGCACCAGTACGAGGGAAGGCACCCCAAACCCAAGCAGTGAGCGCGGGCGAAAAGTCCGTCTGCTGCTAGGCCTAGCCGCAGCAGCAACAACGCACCCGATTTGGATTGTTCGAGCTTTATTCCTACCGTCGATGACTTCGTCAGTGCTTCAGAGTGAAAGATAAAGCTGTTCGACGACTAAAGCAAGTGTCAGGACGAACGCGGAAGCACATTTATTTGTGAGACCGATGCGAAGCAGAACCTCGTCAGCGGCGTAGTATGCTCCAACTGTGGGCGGTGCGAGCTGTCCATTCGAGTAATGGCAAGTAGACGATAAGGACTGGCATCGCTTTCGGAACTTTAGCGCCGAAATGACGCATGTGCTGCAACCGTTCTTTCGACCACGTACGCGTCAAGCCGCGTGTATCTGTCATGCAGAGGAAGCGAGGAGACGTCCGCCAGCAGCAATGCATGGGACAGCTTCGCTGTGAGCGTGAAGTCGGTGGTCGCAGCGCATGCGATCGGCGTCGGACACGAGCAGCTTGTGCGGGTTTTATGCAATCATTGGTGTTAAAAAACCAGTGTGTCACAAGAATTACTATTCGCAAAAGAAAAAGTGCATACAACCGCCGAAACCTCGAATGAGCCCGAAAGCAACGGCCCATTGCTGCAGTACCGGAAAAAAAAAAAAAATCCCGTCAGGAGGAGGCAGCTTGCAGAGACTGTAAGGGTCCAATATATAGCGTTGGATTATTCTGAAACTGACATCTTTTTCAAGATAGCTTTGCTGACATTCTCTGTAAATTTCATTCAGATTGGTTGAAGAGTATAGTATTAAGCATGTTTTTGAACTTTCAAACCGCTTTTTCTCAGTTCCTTATTTTTCGGCATTTTTAGAGCTTGTGCACTATAGTTTGTACGCTTTACATAGTCGGATTGCAATGAAACTTGGCATGCTTAAAGTTTAACATGTCCTGAATTAAAATAAGCAACTTTCGTAGGTCTCCAAAGCATATTCTGCTCGATAATTTCGGAAGCTTGTTCCTTGAGTATGGTAAAACTCAAATTCAGCATTAGAATTTTTTTCTAGGCCAGCACACAAATGTTACACAATGTTTCTTTGCGTTATTGAATTCTGCAAATCATTAGGAGCAACATTGGCTATTTTTTAAAGCTTGCCTGTGCTTACTATTGTTGCCTAGGCTTGCACGAAAATGCACTGTTTTTATAAATGCGTGGTCTGAAAAAAAAAAAAACTAAATGAGCCATGAAAAAAATAAAAGCACATTTGAAAAGAGGAGCTCGAACTCTATAACTGGTGAAAGTTTCATTGAGCTGTCACAAATACCTAAAGTTTTTCGAGGAGAATCTCCCCTTAACAAGCATTTCACCTCTGTCTATACAAATTTGCTATGCAAAGTGAATTTTTGTACAGCATTCATCCTCAGCTGGCTTTGAGTGCTAGTATTAGAGTTCTTGATCATGTATGCATGCTCCAGCACCTTCCCTTAAGATGTACTTCTAATGATCGCTGTAAAACTGGGCGCTCTTTGTTATTCTCAAAAGCTTCAACAAATAAAAGTTGTATTGTGACCACAATTGTTTTTAACAATAAAAATCTATTGTGTGGTTGTCATAAGCCCCGCCGTGGTGGTCTAGTGACTAAGGTACTCGGCTGCTGACCCGCAGGTCACACACAGGATCGAATCCCGGTTGTGGCGGCTGCATTTTCGGTGGAGGCGAAAATGCTGTAGGTCTATGTGGTCAGATTTGGGTGCACGTTAAAGACCTCCAGGTGGTCGAAATTTCCGGAGCCCTCCACTATGGCATCTCTCATAATTATATGATGGTTTTGGGACGTTAAACCCCGCATATCAATCAATCATGTGGTTGTCATAAGTGTTCATTTGTACTCAAAATTAACAAAATTTGATCTGGAAGCCTGCTTAATATGATATTGCAACTCTTTCATCGGTACAGGAAGTGATCCTAAAGAGGAAACAGTTACACCAGACATTTCAAGTCATCAAAGTGAAGGTCAGCTGGATATCCAGATGTTTTTTGTGGGTCATGTGGCAAATTCTGGTGCATTCATACTTTCATGAAACGTAAGGGTTGACCAGAGTACCTGAGTTAAGTGTATCACAGTATCAAAGACATGTTGATTGGATGGGGGGGAGGGAGGTGCTTGAAAAAACACGTTCCTAATAGATGTGTAAAATATGGCTGCCATCACTGGAAATAGGGGTGCTACTGATATTTTTGCTTTGGAAATTGGATTGTGCTACAAAAGAGCTCTGCTACAGTGCAAGTGCATACTGCCTGAATTAGCTAAAATGGATGCTTGGGCAAGTTGGTTCATACTTGGGAAAGAAAAACAGTGCAAAAATATGGAGCTTACGAACACAAAGAAAGACACATAGATGCAGTGCTGACTTGCAGTGAATTCGTTCGAATGGAAGGCCTTTTTTTGGCACACATTGGGCCGAAAAGAAAGGAGCAGACGAATCGGGTGATCAAGAAGGTTGCTAAAGGCTTAAAAAAAGAATGCTGGTAATGGAGTCCAAAATCGTACTAGGGAGGCACACTTTGGTATGCAAGTGAAATGTCATATGTAAAATTTAAACACAATATAAACTGAGAAACATAACCAAAAAGTTGCACAAGGTTGAAGGAAAGCAGATCGAAAACACATGATGAACAAACAATTTGCTAGAAACGTGTACTCAAAGAAATGTGCCTCCTTTTATGAGAAGGAAAGTTAAGGCCTGCTTACCCAACAGTCACAAGACCTCTGAATTTTGGCAGTCTCAAAAATTTCATGAACAAGTTAATTGCCATGCCTGGCAGTGACAGTTCACTTTTCAAAAGGTGGGGTGCAGCCACAAGTGCAAGAATGCATTGCTAGATGACAGCACACAGCCAAGGACAGGTTCTCCTGGAGCTCCCTGAGGCGGATGTCAAGACCTGTCTGTCCTACATAATAATGCTTTTCACATGACAGCGGTGTAGAGTAATACATGGTGCCCCTCACATATGGCACATAAAGGTGGCGGGACTTTGTTTATTACGCATTTTTGTTCAGAAGGTTGAGCATTCACCACCCTGCACAACCTAGAGAGCTTCTCAGAGGCAACCTGGATATCGCAGTACTGTGTGGTCTCATAGGAGCACCAATTGCCAGGGATGAATATCGACGTGTGTGCAGAATTTCACAGGCAGCCATAATTCAGAGGCTTGGTGACAGTTGTGTAAGCAGGGCATCACTTTCTCTTTCAAAGAAGGTAGGGGGAGTTAATTACAGGGGTTCAAAAGTTCCCAGGTCACACTGCCATAGGAATACATAAGGTAGTGGCCTAAGAACTTTTGACTGGCCCTGTACATGTTCTTGAGCGGCATATCTTCCCACTAGCTTTCAATTGACCATGTGTCGTGTATCTATCCCCCCTCCCCTTTTTTTTGGCTTCATGTAACTTTCTGGTTTGGCTTTCTTTCTCAGTTTTTATTATATTTATTATTGTGAAATTATTTATGACATTCGCCTTGTTCTAAGGTATTAGATCCTGGTTTGAGCATTCCTTGTTAATATCATTCAGCAACCTTCTTGACATCTGTTTCGTCAATGCAGACCACGTTTCTTATCTGTTCCTTTCTTTTTAGTACAATTTTTGCCATTGCATATGTAGGAATAGACTCGTTGTGAGTCAGCGCTGTATCTCTGCTACTTTCCTTAAGTTCGATCTTATTGGACTGTTTTTCTTTCTTTACTTCGCCTGAAGGAGCTGCTTTCATCGAGTAGTTAAAATGTATTCTCAGTTTTTGAATTGCAAAAACATTACACCTTGATACTTATATTACACCTTGACTTTGATCGTAACATTTTTAAAAGTTGTTTTGTAGACACTGAGATGCTTTTAATGAACAAAATTAGCAAAAATGCTGGCAATACCAGATTTTTTTTAGGTTAGTTTGTGATGCAGTGGCAAGCTGTGGGTTGTAAGAGTAACTTGATCACAGTTATTTGATATGTATTTGATTGAGCCTGAATATTTCATGTTCATGTTTGTAATTGTGGCATTATTAGTTTTAGGTTCTTGAATTCTAAAATGTTTTGTCATAACATTTACTGCAAATTTTCAAAAATCTACAATTGTCAGCAAAAAATCTTTAGTGTGCCTTCTTTGACTGGAGGTAAATGAAATGTCTTGGCTAAGCTGTCAGGCAACCAGCAATGCCATTACTGTATAATTGAAAGTATAGCCATAGTGTATTTTAAGAGTTGCACATTACTTATATTTTACAGTGTTAAAAAAACTATGGGCTTGTAAAAATGGGTGTATTCCAACTAACCTGCATCTTGAAGTTTGCATATTATTATTTTGATGGTTATTACAACATCAGCAAAAAGCAAAAAATTTATCTGTGTTACCATCTGCCAAGACATGACCACAACTGGCAGTCTGCTGCAGTACACAAACTATGTACTGAGGCTCAGCTGTGTATGGTGTGTTGCATGTAGCTTTTATTATGCTTTAAAAATATTGGTGTACACTATAGAAGGACATTATTAAAAGCATGTTGTTGTCTACTGTATGAAGCAAAGGAATTAATTTTAGTTGATCTATTAGTCAATGTTACTCAGTTATATTGGTAATTCTTAAGGTTGAGGAAAGCATATTTTAAGAAGAGGTCTTAGAGTGTACTTGAAAAGATCCACCAGTCTTGAAACTTTGTACCTGTTACGACTTGTGAATTAAGAAAAGGTGGTCTCTAACTATCAGGAAAATGGGGAATCATCAGCATACCTGAAGTACTGAAAAAAAGAGTCATTGCTTCTCGTGTGGAAAACTATGCTTTCCATATGTCAAATGCTGCACCTTGCTGCGCCCTCGCAAGTATGGTACTATTAATGGTTTTCTCATCGCCCATTGCTTCATTGGAAAAACTTATCCTGATGAATCTGTACACTACTGGTATATGTTGTCAAATGAGGCATTGAAGGTGAAGGGTGTTAAAAGGCCAGAGAGTGAAAGTCAGCAAGGCATTTGCCTGAAAATATGTATAGATCATGCTGTATGGGTCCTATTTACGCTTCATGCCATAGAGGGAAAGTCGGCAAGGGGTTTACCTGAAAATATGTATAGGTCATGCTGAATGGGTCCTATTTATGCTTCATGATAATGGACTTGCTTTAGTAAGCTTTAGTGCAGTGTTGTTAGTGCTGCTTCAATTGCTCCGAAGTGCAATATTTGCTAGTAACTGCTCCAAACCTGCTCCAAAATGACGTTGGCAAACTAAACAGAATGAAGTTGAACCATGGGAACCATCTCGTGAGCCTAAGCAAAACCAACAGCAAGCTGTATTATATAACCCTAGTATGCTACTCAGTGGCATAACTCCAGAAAAATCACAAGGGGTGACACATATCAGGCCTTGTTGACCAATTCGTATTTTTAATATGGGTTGTATTTTTATTTATATACGAATTAAATCATGCTTTCAAATAGAATTAAAAAAAACGAGCGTTGGGTCCGAGCTTGAGCAATTGCATTGTTCTATTCAGTCTTTTTTATTCACCTTTTTGCAATTTCCATAGTTCACACAGCTCAGGGTTATTTAACGCAGCTACGCAGTAACAGATAAAAAACCTTTTAAAAAGTTGCTTGCACTGTACTTAACGGTTAACTGAATTATATCACGTGCGAAAGCTAAATCTCGAGGGGGATACTTGCAAGGGCTGTCCTTCCCAGCCTGAACACAAGAAAAGTCCGGACGACCTTGACCCCCATGATTTACGCCAATGATACTTCTATACAGCTTGTATACTAGCTGCATACTAGTATATGGCATGTGTAATAATAAATACAAATATTTATTAGGTGCTTAAGTGATGTTTTAGATTTCAGGAGTCATTGGGAACACGCACCTGCCCCAAATACACCAATAGCAACCCTTAGCTATAGCATTGTTTTCTGCTCCGAAGACAGTTAAGGCTGCTCCAGAGCACCATTTTTTCTGCTCCAGAATATGCTCCAAAAAGCACAATGTTGCTTCCATCATCACTCTTAGTGCAAGACAGGTGTGTAATGTGGTGGAGCACATTGGTATCAGAAAATATTGCTTTTCATTGACATGTACTACATAGCCATTTTTGTGCAGTTGTCCATTATAGTGGAGCAGTGGTTGTGGTGCTCGGCTTCTGACCCAAAGGTCATGTGTTAGATACCGGCCATGGTGGTCACATTTTGATGGAGGTGAAATGCTGGAGGCCTGGGTACTGTGCGATGTTGTGTATGTTAAAGAACACCAGATCGTCTAATCAGTGGAGCCCTCTACTACAGCGTGCCTCATAATCATATCTTGATTTTGGCACATCAAGCCCCAGATATTATGCTTGTGCAGTTCCATTTGGGGCTTATATGTCTTACACTGAATTGCCAATGTACCTCGCTATTTTTTAAATTTGGATTCAAGACGTATCTGTGTGCGATGATATGATTGTAAAAGAAAAGGTTGTGATAAAGCTGACTAGAGTAAGTCTTTTTTTCGTCTTCACTTTCAAGTAGCAGTCAGCTCTGTTGATGGACTATGTAAGGCACTGAAAGAACAAGCTTTGTGTATGAGGCTCTTAAACTTTCCTGAAGCTACTTATGTAGTGTCAGTTACTGCAGCTCTAGCACATGTAGAATATGTGTGTGTGGGGGGGGGGGGGGGGGTTACATTTCAATTTGTTAACCTTGCTTAGGTCTGTTTAGTGTAACACCAGTGTGAGACTAACTTCTCTTATGCAGAACATAGTTGACTTTCTAGCATTCCAGAGTGATTCTGGCTGTCGTGTTTCAATGGAGGTGAAATGCTAGAGGTCCATGTACTGGTGGGTTGTTCATGCACGTGAAAGAACACCGGATAGTTGTAACTTCCAGAACCTTCTACTGTGTAGTCATAGGTTGTAATCTTCCTTGGCCTCACTTTGTTAATGTTGCAAGGAATTTCGATGTGTGGCAATATTGCCATATATTTTACTGAAATAAAAATCTAAATATTAACTCAGTTGAACAAAGCTATAAACTGGTATTTCTCTTCTCTATGTGCTCACAGGTTGCACAGCTTCTAGTCCCATGACTCTCCTGAAGAGAGCGTGTCCCTGTAGCTTTATTGAAAAGTACTGTCAAGTCACTGTCAACTTTTGGTGACACTATCTACAAATGAGTGCTAGTCTTGTCTGTACATGTTCTGTTATGTCATTACTAGAGTAATGCAAATGTAGTGAGACTGCAGGCAAATTTTTGCTGTTGGTAGCTATGTAAAATTATTTTCCAGATCTATGTAGTACACTTTTTGGGATAATTAACAGCTGATCCAAAAGTTACATCCAACTTTGTTATGATGTTGCTGTTAGTTCAGGAAGCAATGTCATGGGTGACTTCGGCATGCTTCATTCGTTGCATCTTTTATAGTTTGTGTGTTGGTGCCAGATTAATGTTGTCCAATATATATGAAACTTAGGCTTTTGTTCATTGCACCTTGGAATATTTTTTAACTGGTCACTTCTCTAGGTATATAAGGATTTCTCTTGATAACTTTTTAATCTGCATGAACATCAACTTATATAAGACATTACTGTGAGAGGGGTGCAATATTTAGGTCTGATCTTTGCCGCTGCGGGGCACATGTGCTTCCTGACATGCCATAAGGAGTGCTCATGCTGTGAGAGGGGTGCAATATTTAGGTCTGATCTTTGCCGCTGCGGGGCACATATGCTTCCTGACATGCCATAAGGAGTGCTCATGCTTTATTCTAAGAGCCTTGCAGATGTTACATGGTAACTGAACAGGTTGGCTTCTGTTGATTTTTTCTAACCTAGTTCAGCCATTGGTCTTCATATCATGCACTCGCCCCCCCCTCCCCCCCCCCATTTTTTTTTTGGGGGGGGGGGGGGGTATTGGGACAAGCATTATATGTACTCTCTTTATGGAAGGAAAAGTATAACATAATATCTACAGACTTTGCCGCTGCTTCTTTTTTTTTCTTTTTTCTTTTAACATGAAAGTGTTTTATGCCGGGGTCCACCGCGGGCGGCACTGTGGCGTATTCTTCCCGTTGCAGATATCATGTAAAATGTCTACAAACATGACTGCAAATAAAAAAAATAAGGAAAAATTCCACAGCTGGGCGTCGAACCAACGACCTTGCCCCCCTCAGCGCGCGACGCTAACCAATACATCACAGAGCGACCCTTCTCCAACATGTCAGCGACAAGCCATTTAGTATAGACACCATGTACCGCTGGTGGTTTTCACAGATCTGAAACTTCGGCACGTTTTAGTTATCAGTAGCGAGATGGCACCGTTGAATGGCACGACAGGCACGTGCATTCTAAAAATTGTGTTGCTCCAGCTCGTGGGTCAAATTGCGTGCACGCCTCCCCATGGTGTGGTCAAAGTGCGTATAGATCTTCTCGTAGTGGCTCACTAGCGTGCGCGCTTATCTCGCGATTCAGGTGCTTCGTTTCTCGTGCTTTCATCACAATTTTGCTGTGAAATTACAGTAGTTAAAGAGACCAGGAATGTCGATTTTCTCATGCCGCAGCCGCTTTTACGAAAGGAGCATGCTACTCACACACGAAGGAAGAATTGTGACAGTTGTTTGTTCGCGCCCGTCCTTCATATGCTCACTTAAAGCGTGCCTTCTGCTCGAGGTGTGCACTGCAAGTTTCGAGCTACTTGCCGTTCTTCGCATGACATTGCAATTTGGTACTGCGGCATTCATTCATTCGCCCTTGTGGCAAAGCAATGCACCTCTGCCTCTGCACTACCTCTGCGAGGACATGTGACTTTTGTGTTGTACCAATCCTAAAAAGAGAGATCAGCCATTTTTTTTTTTTTTTCGGTAATCTCCAAGTGTGTACATGAAAATCGTTCATATACTTTTGGTGTTATTCTACAAGCAAGTACGTTAAATAAATAAATGATGGCTCTGGAGTAAGCAAGGATTATTATTATTATGCAACTTCTAACAGATGGTAATCTGTCTTCCTTGAGACTTTGCTTGTTTGAGCTCTCACAGCCCTCGCAGGTGTTCATACTGTATCAGAACTGTTTTATGTGTTAATGCAGAAAATTAAGTCGTTCGAAGAAGTTGTCACAATTGAAGCATTGCGTGCTTACCAGTATATTATCACGGGGTGGTGACACAGACGAATGCTGCAGTCAGCTTGTCCAGAGATGAAACTTTATTTGGCCGAACTTGTGGCTAGGAAAGGAAACTCAAACTACAGCTATACTACTGTACGATGACAGCGGTGAACAGAGTGCTGACCATCAAAAAACTGATCAGCATTGGGGCGTGCGGTCTTGTATGCATTACGCATCAAACTTTAAGAATGAACAACCTTGAAGCTTCTTGAACAGGCAGCACGGCTGTGCCGAGCATTGCTGACAGCCTTTGTGAGCATAAACTGAATACTGCAAAATTAAGCAAGAAACCGCGTTACAATACGCACTTCTTCCTGCTTACAGACACTGGGATGATTGTCCATGCTATGTTATTGATAAGCTTTTTTTTCTATATCGGCCAAATCCAGAACCCAAACGAGCTCAAATAAAGCTATATTGACATATATATTCTCAGCTTTCCTCTAAAACTATAATAATTAAAAATAATAATTTGTAATTTATTAATACCATTTTACAGGAAACTTGGTAGTAGATATGTGCCAATAGAATCTTATTTGAGATAGTTTCTGTTCGGGATTCGACCCATTTTGGAAAAAAGCTTCTTAGATGTGCTTTGCACTGTATTGCTTTGGGGCTACCTTCAAGTTAGGGCAAATGCTGAGAGGAAAAAGATGGGTGCTGCATTTGTTATATCGTTGAACTGTATTTTTACGTTGTCTTAAACACTTCATTATGCCTTTGTTTCATGGAGTTTGTAAATATCTAAGCTCTTCACATGCTCTAGTCAGTTGGTGTAGTGGTGTCGTAACCCAAGAGTTGCTCTTCATCTTTTATCAGCTGGAGCTTTTTCTAAGCTACAATTGCCGCTGAAGTACTGGTGAAAAGCTGCCTGTGTGGTTCCTTTTTTTTTTTTTGTACTCTGTGTGAGAACCAAAAACATATGCGCAGCTGGTAGAACAAACTTCTGGAATTGTGTTTAAAAAAATGATGAAAAGCTTTGTTGGGGGTAATTTTATGTACACCTAATTTATCTTTAGTGTTAATTAACATACACGCAAGTGCACTACCCATTGCAGAGGCAGTATTCGTGCCACCAATTTCTCACTCGTGTATTTGGTCTCCTATTCTTACTCCCCCCCCAAGTCATGTTTATGGCAGAGCAAGTTTCGCTGCTATTTCGTGTGGAGCACTAGAGTGCTGTGTTTTTTACCTGCTCTGCCTCGAAAATATTTCCACTCTTGCATTTGTTCACCCTGCAACCCATTTTCACTTTTCTTTCTCCTGTACCAAACACCACAAAATTGCAGATTATGAAGGTGTACGAAGTCCGTGTGCTGCAACAACACCATTTGGTGCCAATGCCAAGCCTGGTCTCCTGCCACCACCACCTCAGGCGTCTGCATCGGCACCGCCTTCTGCAATCACTACTCCAAGTCAACCCAGCCAGCCTGGCTCTAAGCTTGGATCCAGCTCACTCGAGGCATTCTTCACACCTTACAGCTCTGGTGAACAGAACGTTGCGGGTGCTGCATCACAGGGTAGCAATAGTGCAGCAGTATCATGCACTGTCGGAGACCAGGCGTCATTCTCAGCAGCGTCCAATGGGCCTGTCGTTGGCGGAAGCAGTGGCGGTTCATTCGTGCCTTCTGGTTCAAATCTTGCTACTCCAGCTGCACCCTTAACAGCACAGCAGCAGCAAGGGTCAGTTCTGTTATCAAAGCATGAAATTTATCTTGTTGGCTCATTGTATAGTAAGGAATCATATTGGCAGTGTAAAAATTGAAGAAAATACACCTCAGGAAAAATGAAACAGATGGGACAAGCTTAGGACATGTAAATATGGCGAAGGCTGTCAAGCGGCATAAAATTTGCTGCTTTTTCCTCGCCATCCCCAGTTTTTGTGTACAAACTGAAAGAAACTCCCGATCGATTGTTTTGTTTCCCACCCCATCTATTATGTCGGTCATTTGTTATGTTGTTTTGCAAATGGGAACACAATCTGTGGCAACCAGTCAGCCTGTTCTGCACCTTGTACAACTGATATCTTGGTCATTTTGCATTTTTATCATGCTTTTGCTTTGGCATAATTTGAGTTGAGATGAGTCAGTATATTGCTTAAGGGGAGACGTGGGTCTTGAAAAAAATATTTGTCTGAATTGAATTAAACTTGACACACTTGTTCAGTTTCTTCTGCACATTGCAAATCTGTAAATAGATTTTTGATAGCTGCATCAGAAATGAAGATATTAAATTTTTATAATACACAAGTAGCATATATCTTTCGGGGCTTTTTGGCAATTTCACTATGTCAAACACAAAAACAAAGTACCTATCTAGATTGCCAGAGAGCTGGTCTAGCCAATGATGCTAATTACAATATTTGCAACAAACTTCAAATGTGAAATAAACTGATAGAAACATGAGTGAAAAATTTGTCACGTGTTGCTTACAATTGTCATGAATTACATTTTGATGAGCAACATGTAGAAAAAAAAATGAATAGCATCATCGGCCAGATCTATTCAATACGAACACATTGCTATCAAACTTGTGATTGTGAGTCAATAAAAACGTTTCAAAATGCCCCGTAAGGCTACGTATTACGTCTAAAAACATGAAACTGAGAAAAATGCATTTGAAGTTTTAGTTTTCCATAAGTTAGTGTGGTATTGCAACATAATTTGGCATCTTTGCCCTTCAGAAACAAGATAATGCCATATATGTTACAACAATGTCACAGGAACAATGAAAAATTAGCTGTATTAACATGCATAGTCCTTGTAAAAGCTTCTACCAAACATTTAACCATTGTGTTTCAGCTTGTATGTGTACACTGTGCATAAAAATTACATGCCTATGTGGTCTGTGCTGTTGCTATTTGCACCTAGGTCAGAGTAACAAAAATAAAAAAGGGGAAAAAATAACATTATTTGAATTCCCGCAATGGTAAAGGCTTGAATCTACACTTTACAGCTGACCAGGGCTGTAGACAGTGTCCATTGTTCGCTTGTACCTCTTCACGAGCTTGTTTTTCTCGGCATTCCTGGCTGCATGGTCTTTGTTGCATATATAAATGATGTTATTGATGAATCTCCAGTCATCCTCAGTGAAGCAAATCGCTCATCGCGCATATCGCATGCTGAGCATCACATCATGAGTTTCACACTAAAGTTTGCACTTATTTCTTTGCTCCTTAAAGTTTGCACTTATTTCTCTGCTCCTTAGACACCTTCATCGCAGTCGGTGTAATTATAAGTCCGAAAAGATAACTAAACATGTTTAAATGTACGATCAAGAATGCCGTTCCACTGTCACTGGAGCTCCCCTGTTCGGTGTCGACGCTGAGAAGTCGGGATTTTAGTTTTGTTTCTGACTTGACGCCAAGAGCTTTTCCACGTGGGCTGCATCTGGCTATTTTCTTCAGGCAAACGTTATCGATGCATTCCGTTTCGAGCTGCTCGATGTCTGCGGACATTCGAGCAGCTCAATGATCGCAGTAGTTCAAACGTGGTAGCGAAGTTGCATACCCGCAGAACGTCGCAGCAGCCGAAAGCTCGAGCTGAGCGAGTGTGAGATGGCAATGAGAGACCGGGCAAAAAAAAAAAAAACAAGCAACACAAACCAGCGAGCCAATAGAAGGCCAAGGCGCGGGGCGAGCATGCGCAAGCTACCTTTGTAAAAGGAGTGGTAGTATCACTTTCACTGCACTGGCGCCATTTTGAAAATAGAGAAAAGATGCACCATGAAAACAGCTTCAAAACAACACCAAGATGGCGGCACCCTGCCGCCACGTTCTGGTGTTTCGAGCCCGCGAACTTCGAACATATTCAGCTCATTTTCGTTCATCTCACCTCCACCTAGGCAGGTGAAATACTGTTTTTTAAATATTTCTCGATTGAATACATCTTTCAGATTTCACCGGAGATTAATAAATGTTTGAATTTCGCGATACTGCACGTTTTTCAAAAATCCACTTCTTTGCGATTTTTCGCCATTTCAAGACCTGCATCTCTGCTTAATATGAGGTCATATAATAGGAATTGTCTGTAACAATGAGTTTCAAATTCGAAGTAAATTTAATAACTGGTTAAGTACTTTTGTTGAACATATTGTTGTACTTAGTTGTATTCACACAATAGATGCACCTAAGTTCACTTGCACTGAAACAATTTAATAAGGAAGTATGCCATTATTTTTTCTTAAATTCCATTCTGCCTTATTTTTGACCCTAGTAGCAAACATGCTTTTTGTAGCCAAGTATGTTGAATACCTATATGCATATCCAGTCACATATTACAGGAAAACCTTTTGCAAGTGTGTTGATTGCATTTTGTATGTGCAGACCACTGACTGAGTAGTGAGTACCGTATTTACTTGCGCAATGAATGCACTCGCATAATAAACACACCCCGAACTTCAGTAGTCAAAATTAGGAATTTTTTTTATCCTCCCGTGTTATAAACACACTGCCTATTCATCCGCTGCAGTTTTGCAAACTGACACCTGGCGCCTCCTTGCACGTTGGATCTTTTAGTTTTTTTTTTTTAATGTCGGCCCCTCTCGCCCTCTCTCTTCCGTCTCCCGCTGCCGTGTGCTGCTTTGTTATTTCTGTGTGCGGTACGTCCCTTCTTTTTTAATTCAATATAAAGCTAGTACGAGAATATAATATGCCAGAATATTTATTGCACATTGCGTAGAACATATATGTCAGGCTCCCAACATCAAAGAAATAAAAAGAGAAATAATTTGAAATGTACAAAATACATTTATAATTCAGAAAAGTTTGAATGATCTAGCTCAAAAAAGCATATGGGCGATCAATTCTTTTTGGTCTACCAAGTAAAAACTGCATTTTTTTATCAGGTAGCATGGTAAGATTTTTTCCCCTGACGAATTTTGTAAACACAGTAATGCAATGGATATAATTAAGAGGAGGAATACATTTGCTATTGAGCCATACGTATTTTGAGCAAATTATGCTAAATAGCAGCACAGCAAAATATTCAGATACCAAAAGGTAGCACTGAATACAGCACCAAAACATCCTGAAGTGTGATTTCTTTACCCACAAAAATATTCTAAGATTTCACAAAAAGCTCTAAGATGTCACAATTTTTTTTTCTTAGGTTAGTGTGCCACTGAGCAGAACAGGCCTTACAAAGGGGCCTTACAAGCATCATTTGTGTGGTAGTCAAGTTTCTTGTCCTTGTAGTACTTTTTGCATATTTGCTGCTTTGTCAATCTATAGGACTTGCTTTGAATGTGCTTTTATGAAAGAGGGGATGGGGTGTGGTCGGGGAAGCTTGACGATGCTCTAATAGATATGCAGGCAAACGAAATTTACCTTTTCTACGGGCATGACTCTTTGCCAAAAGCCACCATCCTTGGTATAAGACTTCTTCTGCAAGATTTGCAAGTGCGCGTACTCATTTTTGTTAACACAAATCCTGTTTATTACTACCATGGCGAAAAAGATGCCCACAATGCCGATTTTCCTTGCGACACATATTGCTTCACTGCGCGACAGTAATCTGAGGTCGTGGTCTGGTCTCATTCTTGGGCTGAACGTCACTCTCTGCTGGCTGAAGGTGATGCCACTATATCTTCACCATATACTGCTGAAACAGAAGATATGATAGTGTTAACATCCTCACGACACTTCAATCTGCGTAAAAAAGTATATGCCAGAAATGAAACATACTGATTGACAGGTGATTACGATATGGGCTCAATATTTGGTTTTTTATCATCTTAACTATATTTCCATAGTTTTACGTCATCCACGGAGTCACTTCTGCTATACACGGCAGAAAAATCACTTGCAGACACAACAAAATTGTCCGAGGGACAACATTTATAATCTGAAAGGGTCTTGCTGTTAGGTCATCTGCTATCTTCTTGAGCGTACCAAGCGAACCGCTATCTTTGAGTCATTATTAAAAATTGCCAACTTGGGGGAAAAATGATTTATTCAAGAAATGAAGCTTTAGTGCTTGCAGAGTGTGCTAGATGGTGCTAATAGTAGCTGATAAAAGCACCCACATCTTTAAATGCTTGCTCGATGCCTTTTTGTCACCCGTGACCCACATTTTATAGGCACGGTAATGATGTAGTTGAACCCTTAGAACTAGGTGGGTGAGAATTCAGTAAATACCGCCAAATCAAGCATCGGTGTGCTTTTTTTTATTTCTGCCTCGTTTAATTTGATCAGTTCCATCACTTCTGTAGAGCTAAGAATGATGGAAGTCAACTGTGTCAACCCGTTTATAATTGTGAGGAACACTTTCATCGCTTAACAGGCATAAGGCATAACTCTGTAGCATTATTCCTGTGCATAAAGGTGAGATGATTGATGAGAAATAACTAGCAGGAATAGCTCGTCTCTCACCAGTGCGATCGCATGGTGCTTGCTGTGTATGCAGGATTCAGGCTCATGGTGTCAGTGTGGACATGATCAGCAGTACACAGCCTGTGTCAGGAGCCTCATCAGAGCGGCTGGCACCTGCCTTGACACCACCGTCATCTCCTACACCAAGCCAAAAAAGCCATCATCGGCGTAATGTCAGTGACACGTCAGCCTTCGTCAAGTGAGTTATCCTCTTCTCTGTGATTGTGATTGCCAGCCTGTAGCTTCAGTGTTTACTTGGAAATGTGAAATTATTACTCTTTATAGTATGTGTAATTTTTTTTTTTTTTTTTCTGTGTCTGTGTTTGCATGTCCATCTTCTTTTGGGATGAATACCTACCAAGCATAGCTTTATCTTAAGTGTTCTTTGTTTGGGTGCCACTATATTACTTGGCCTTCTATGGCACTAATTTTTTTCCATTGGGAATTCAGGCCATTTGTGCAGGAAACATCTCAGTTTCTGGCACCTTTTGAAGTCTCACTGGGCCGTGCTTCATCCCCGCATGAGGGCAATCCCCACTGGAACCCGTTTGCTGAGTCTGCATCTGCCTCTGCAGTGGATCCTACGGATCCTGAAGACCATCTGTTTGGCCAGGAATTTGATAAGATACGACGAGGCTCGCAGAGCAGTGAGTCTTTCCTTCTTTGCTACTCTAGGCGCATCTTGTGAAATAAGAAAGTAGCAAACCTGGAGCTATTGCAGTTTACATTCTGAGATCAGAGCTCTCTAGGAGAAAAAAAAACTTACCCTCAATTTGAAAGCCATATCATTATACTGCCCTTACTATACTGTGACTAGAAAAGCAGTAAAAAATGTGCTGCAATGAAGTCCTAAAATGACATATTTGAAATGAAATACTCCTATTGCATACCCCAAATATACTGAAATAGAAAAAGTGGTTCTAGCTAGACCATCAAGAGCAGGCTCTGAGAGAACAAACATTGTCTATGCTAGTACACAAACAGAGTGAGAAATCTGTTTAACAACACATTTATTTGAGGTGGTTGGTGCATCTTGTGCCAATATTTTTGAAACAGCATGACAAATTAGCAGAGAGAATGTCGGAAGGGCAGATGAAAAGCTGGCTCTCTGTCCTCTCCAATACCTTTTCCTTTAATTTTTTATGCTGTTTTACGGATAAAGCTAGAGCTTTTTCGTGGAGGAAAAAAAGATATATATTGAAACCAATCTTTGTTTGCCACATTGATTACAATTCAGTTGCTCCAGATTGTCACTAGAACTTCAGATTACCCAGGTACCATTCATGCCAGACATAAGCCCGCCAATGAATGAGCCAATCAAGTACTGGCCCATGCAGTGCACTAGTGGATACCTTATCTACATGGGGCCATAGCTGCTACACTTCAGCAAGACTGTGCGGGTTCTTTGCTCATTTTCAGATTGTTGTGCAAGTGCACACTCGCATATCAGATAAAAGCTGGACAAGTTGTTAGCTCACGCCAGCTTTTCTGTCAGCTTCAGCATGGATGTGTGAGAGAGCTGTATGTAGTTTTGTATTCCCAGTTGTGCTGCACTGCTTGCCTCTTATTCACCCTTTAATAATGCTTGTTTATTGAATTATTTTTTACTCCAGGACTACTGTAGGAAGCATTAAGGTTATTTTTACTGTTATAACATGAGAAGTTCAATGTAACGAAATTCGCAGTAGATTTGTTTTCTGCTGCAAGTGTGACAATCGGTTAACACGTTACACTTAGACAAAGGTAGCACAAGGCTTAGTATTTTAGTGAGATTGCAGCTTATCAGGAAGCTCGCACAACAGAGCCTAAGCAGCCCATAATTCGTGGTTATCTTCTTTAAGTTGAAACCAAGTTCCTTCTCATTTTGAATTCGCTTGTCAAAGTAAAATTGTTCGGAACCCACTACAGTGCAGAAATACTAGCATCAACTTCTTTTCATATCTAGAACCACTTATGTGCTCTGATGACAGGCTTCAAATGACATTAAGATCAGCCATCTTCATTTGCTGCAAAGGAGACTGTCCTTGCTCAGTACTATTGATACTGTTGCGCATAAATGTTAATGTGTCTGGTGCTAAGGCATGCGAACATGTCATCGAAAATATTGGGGATGTAATTTTACAAGGACTCAGTGTGGTTGGTGCAATGCAGAAGGCTTAATCTCACTGTAAATTTGTGTAGCACAAATATGTACTTGTTGCAGCACTGGTGAGACACTTCTTATGCCTTATACCTTATGCAACTACAGCCCATTACAGGCTGCAGTTGCTGTTTATTTCTCCTGTGCAGTATTTTGAAGCCTTGCTGTGCAAACAAGCAGTAAATTGAAGGTTCCCTCAGTCTGTTGCACTCTAATGGATCAGCAAAAAAGCGTGCTGAACTAGTGAAATGGACACACTTTTCCTTTACTTAGGCATATCCAATGTGAAGAGTCGTGAGAGTCTAGTCATGAGCAGTGGCGACTTAGTGGATCCATTTGGGGCGGCACCATTCAACCGTTCAGGTGAGCAGTAATTATATTTATTAATTTTTAGCACATCACTTATACTGCACCTCTTTTCAAGTATGTAGGGCAAAGTTTGGTTTTCATAACACTGTTTTTATTAGCTGCTCTATATGCTTTGCAAGTGTGTGGAATTTGGGTTCTTTTTTCTTTGCCTCTTCTGTTCTGTTATAAGAGGGGTTAAGGGACACATAAAAGGAAAATTATTTCTCTTGTTTGACTACCTTTCCACTACACTAAGAACAGCACTTTTACCATGAAAAGATGCTTGGTAAGCCAGTTAGCTTATCAATTAGCTTTATTGGTAAAAGTGGATCTGAAGTGCATGTCCTTATAAGTGCCAGTGTTAACACACTAGCAGTGTTACTTGTGAAGAACTGGTTCAACATGATTTATAAAATTGTGCTACCTAGAGAGACTGGATACATGCATACTATGGAGATTGGCTTGTACAAAGCGCATCCTCTAAGCAAATGGCATCCTATGCTGGATACAATCATAATGCTTCACCAGACCAAACAGGTGTACGTATAGTAAAGGGACAAGTAATGAAATTATACTGGCAAAAAAATGTTACAGCAAGGGGTAAATACTGACCAGGTGAGTGACCATCAATCAGCTTGTTTGTCGCAGGGTTAAATAAAGGTGTCTCATTTTAGACACATTACATCTTCCGCAGAAATAAGGGGCCTGTTATGGAAACAGAAGTGCTGTGACTTAACAAGGGGCATGTTTGGCATCACATGGGCATGTGTATCTTGTAGAAGAACTTTTTGTCCAGTATTAGTAATAGAAAAGATGCTGGCAGCAGTGCTGAGTACAGTGCATCAGTTCAGCCACCTAGGGGAGCACAGGGCTCCTGTGCTAGTATGTAACCATACTGTTGGCATATTGTTTGTTACAGGGTTGGTCAATAGCAACACTTACATGACAGGCAAGGTCTTGCACTGCTGAGGTTGAGGGCTTGGGTTCCATTACCAGCTGTGGTGGCCATATTTTGAGAGGGGCAAAATGCAAAAATTTTTGTATACTAGTTACATTTAGGTTCGCAATAACGAATCCTGCGTGTTCAGAGTGAAGCTAGAGTTGTCAACTATGGCGTGCCTCATAATCACATTTTTGCATGTAAAACCCCTCTGTTTTAATTGCGTGCATCTTTCCTGAGGAACTAGACAACTGAGCTAGTGAGTCTCTGCAGGGAAACCAGGCCGAGCGAGGAACTCCTCCGGAAAGACAGCATTGAATCCTCTGTCTACTACTTCATCCCAGGCTGGAGGTAATCCCTGGTGCTAATTTCGCCCTCCAACAACACCACCACCAACACCACCTTTGTTATTGTGGTTACTGCTGCAACTGCCACTACCACTTCCCAGCTTGTGTGCAATTGCTTTCATCGTTGGCACATAAAGAGTTGTTAGATATCTTAAGCTAGCATGGTTTTTAAAAAACGAAGGCTAAACAAACAGTTCTAGACATTTAATCTATAATCTTACTGTAGCACAGTTTGATAGGTTTCTTTACCTTATTTGTACGTTAACATTAATTCAAAGATATAAAGTTAGTATTGTTTATGCTTTATCTCTTTTTTATATTCATTATCGAATAAGGCAGTTGTCATTTTAAAGCTACCATTCACTTGGTTGTTCTTCTACATTGTGCAGTTGCAGGATTATCAAAACAAGGTGTATAGGATATTGTTGTGAATATGCTCTATTAATTGTGCATTCCCTCAAATGGTATACAGCATGTACAGTGAACCTAGTTTATGGAGATTATGGGCTCAGGTCCTTCGTAACTGTATCTGGCATTGCCATTTCAGTGCCTTTGCTACCCTCACACCTTGAGTGAGTCAGAATTACGTTGTTATACAGTTGAACTTTGAGGTTCAACTATATAACTTTCCTCCATGATATTGCCCAAATTCTATGACATTAAAATTCAACCTTTTTTTACAATGTGCAATAGCTAGCCAGTTCTTCATAACAAGGTAGGGCCACAGAAGATGTCTGAATAGTTGGGCTGCTTGAAGAAGAAAAACTTGAAAGCCAGCTATAATTTCCACATTCTGATGGGTCTTGGCAACAAAGTCCTCTACACAGCAGACATATGGCGCATGGAAAGCCACAACTCTAGGTGCATCATTCTACCACATCAACTTGCCAAATAACCTTGGGTATCTGCCTGATTGATATGACACTGAATGATGTGCTCGCTAAACCAAACTGCTGCTCTGCAGGTGGTCTGATGAATGCACTGTGAGTGCCAATCAGACCCTGCAAAAAAACTTCACCTTAGAATAGAATCGCATGGGAGCGAGGTGATAACCTAAAATACAGTCGACTCTCATTAATTCAAACTTGAAGGGTCCTCCGAATTTTGTTTGAATTATCAAGAATTATCAAGAAGGTGACACCACACATATGATTGGGCATTGATTTTATCAATGTAAAAATTTTTCAAAGTGTTTTTAAGCCCTAACTGCACGCAATGGACAGAAAGCAGAGGTGTAAAGTCCACAAGGTTATTGGCCATTTACTGCTGATCAGACCTTTTGAAGAAATCGTCAATTGCCAACTGAGGGGGGGGGGGGGGGCTTCATTGCATGTGCTTTCATCACAAAGATGTCTTTACCAGTTGAGAAGCATCACGATTTACCATGTGCGTGCTTTGTTTCAAACATTTGAAGCAAAGCACACGCATGGTAAATCGTGATACTTCTCAACTGGTATAGACATCTTTGTGATGTCTATACCTCAGGTGCTTATTTTTCATATTTAGAATGTTAGGATTATATAAGCACAAACATTTTTATATAGTAATTGGAAAGCAGCTGATATTTTCTCGTATGGACCTGCAAAAAGTATGAATTAACCGAGTTATGAAGTTTCAATCAAGAGGCTTTTAAATACATTGAAAGAAAAGAGGGCCAACAAAAAAAAATAATTTTGTTTGCATTAACCGGAAGTATGAATTATCAGTTTTTTACTGTATAAAAATTAGTATCTTTAAAAGTTGTTATTAGTAGGCTTGTGCAAATATTGGAATGCATTGAAAATTTGAACTTGCTTCAATTCGAATTTCAATTATTGAAAATTTCGAAGTATTCGAGATTGACGAATAAATGAATAGCTGGAATATAATTCCTGTAAAGGTGGTTTCATTGCAGTGAAGGGGTGCTATGCCTTAAAAACACCTGTTTAAATTAATGTTAGCACGTAAAGATGGTTTCTTAGCAGTGAAAGAGTGCTAACCTGGGAAAACACCTTATTGGGAGGAAGTTGATTGTTGCGGAGCTCCACTTCAACATTAAAGGGGTACTAAAGAGGAACCGTGGCTTGGTTTAGATCGACAAACCTAGTGTCGTAGTTAGATTGGTGTTTTCGGAATTGTGAAATTGCATATGCAGAGGTGAGACAGCTGTGCATATTGCGCATTTTTTATACATTTCCGTTTTCTTGCGCCAAGCTGCTCCAAAAGCATAAAAATCACGAAAATTGCGCCGAACTACTCCTAAACAGCCTTGAAAGCTAGAATTTTGATGCCAACCTCAGCTTCAAGGCGAAAAAAAGGCCGAGTTGACGCTTTTTTTTTTTTTTGCTTTGCAATTTTCTGGTGATGAAGGTTTTGATGGTGCTGCCATAATCTCCTGTAAACTGTTGTAAATAGGGGTTGACTTTCAGGTTCTTTGTTGTCTGTAGCACGTTCCTTCGGTTGCTGCAGTTATTATGTCGATGCTGCTGCGTGCGGTGACCTACGTGTGTGCGTTTGCCGTAAGCAAGTAACTGTAAACATGGAGTACTTCATTTCTCTGCATGCGACGCGTCTCCTGGATGCTTTGGCACGTGCACATGGGTCCTCAAAATGGGTTCCATGAGCAACACAACGCGTACACCCCATTCTCGATTTACGTCCATTAGCTACTAGCTTATTTAGACAAGTAAGTTCTCATTGCATTTTGCGCTTAAAAAAGCCATCACACGCGAAATCCGCACATCGGTGTCTGCAGGTAGAGAGAAATACTTGGCTATTTGTGAAGCCGTGGTGACAGAATGCACGTCCAAACTAGTTCATGAACGGGCACCATGGTGCTTTATTTGTGACTCATGACGCGTCGGCGATCATGTGGCACAGTTTTAATGAATGATGATTTTCTACTGCTTCGTTTTGTAATCTAAACCATAACCTCCGAGATGGCGCGCGCGCGGCGTGTTTTCGTCGGCGGCAGTGTGACTTCGTTTTCTTTCTTCTTATGCAATAAAACCGACCCCTGTACATTCGGCGGTTCGTTTGCGTGGACACGAATTTCTTACCTTCGCAGTGCGAGCGCTTTACGCAAGCCGAGGTGCGGGCGGCAATCGCAATTTGATGTATTATCGGAAGTTCTACATCGGCGGTGATGACCTACGATATTACAGAAATTAGAACTAGCCAACGTGTGCTGTATGAATAACACCTGGTTGCTCCCGTTGAGAGGCGTTATCAGTACCATTCGCTTATCACTTAGTGCCATACGCATGCACGCCACGGCATGGTGCTGAGAGCATATTCGGAGCAGGGTATGTTCAAATTAATTGTCAGAAGTGCTTGCGCATTCGAATTACAGGGTGTTTTCGCCCATTTGAATACACATAGCTTTGATGAGACCACAGCATCAGTTCTAATTAACTGGAAGTTCGAATTAATGAGATTCGACTATAGCATTCAATCCGAAATTATTCGACGAAAATCACTATTTGCTTCAAATTTACTTCAAACCTAAAAATCACTGCTTGTACAAGCCTAGTTGTTGGGGTAGTTGGTGCATGCTTAAAGAAACGCAAAAAAAGTTGCATATCAATAAGCAATTGGTATGCTTACCGCTCTTGCACTTGCTACATCACGGATAATTTATTTCCAAAATATTTAACAAAATTTTATTTGGTGTCAAATTTTCAGTTGCTGTTATGTATTCAATAGGTTCAACAGTGCTTGCTATTTTTTGGGCTAGCTGGTGCATGTTTCATAATAAGGATTGACTTAATGCCAAAAATACTTCCACAGAAAAAACAGGCACTACAGTAAGTATATAAATGCCATTTCTACAAACCCATGTGTAACATGCATGCGTTATCACATTGCTTAACAATACAACCAAGCACTTTCCAGATGTCGCATTTAATATTCATATGATCTTGTTCATGTTTGGTGTGCAAAATTTCAACATCTTTTATTTATATATATATATATATTTTTTTTTTTTTTTGAGGTTCATCAGCTACATTGTCTCTGCTCCTTTTCAGCAGCATGGCTCACATCTAAGTTAAGTTACATGCATGCATAAATGCACACTGACCTTAATTTTCCATTAAGTGGCCTGGACAAGGCTTTTTTCACTATGGGTGTGCGAATATTTGAACTTTCTAATATTTTTCTAATAGTTTTTGCTATTTGATTCGATTCACACTGGAATTATGCTATCAAAGTATTCAAAGTTCCCGAAGACAGTCAACAGCCAATCAACAGTAACCCTTCGATTTTTTTGTGCTTCACCTCATTACATCGTTGCATTGCGGCAAAACTGGCTTTCAGACTATGCTACGGTCACAAATGTGTTGACTTGAGAAAAAAATTGGAGGACCCCTTAAGCTTCGCCTTTAAGAGCTGAACGTGATAGCGAAATCCGGCCCCTAGTGCACCTTTCAACCGCTAAGTGCATACTTATTAATATTGTTATGCAATATGTTTTGTTACATACACACACACACACGCACACAGTAGATTGTACCAGCGCGCACGCTCGAATGGTGCGTACAGCTTTTTGATCTAAAGCAAGAGTCGCATGGCCTCCAAGATACATGCCGTGCGCTTGCCATCTTGGAGGCCATAAAGAGTCTAACAATGCCTCACAGATAGCAGCACATTATCTAGCATTTGCTGTTTGCTTGATCAATGCCTCTGGAAAGGCATGATATGTTTTCCACTAGGTGGACATAGTTGTCTATTTTTAAAGCTGTTTGAAAGTTCCTGTGTGTTTTTAGTGGCGATGGCTGCACTATCCCGGCCTTTTTCGACGTAGTTTGAGGCTTCCCAAATGCCCCTACAAGTCGCCGAATGGGCTCGTTTTCGTCGTGACACCTGCAGAACAAAATGCGTTGAAGGGGCCCTAAAACACTTTTTCAAGTAACCAGGAAAAGCTTATTGCCTCACAAATTCAACGACACAAAAATTTTATGAATCCATCCAGTGCGAGTGGAGTTGCAAAGCTTTGTCGCATGCTGCACTTGCATTCTCTCTTGT